GCCCCGCATTGGGTTCCCTGCTCTGCGGGAAGTCTGCTTCTCCCTCTCCCAGTCCCTCTGCTTGTGTTCCCTCTCTCGCTGTCTCTCTCTCTCTCTCTCTGTCAAATAAATAAATAAAATCTTAAAAAAAAATAAAAAAAGAAAAAGAACTGTTACCCACAGTCTAAGCCCATCGATGAATTTTTGTTGTTTTAAACAGTTAGCAATCCACTTTTTGAGGCTCATGCTTAGTTTCTGGACTCTAAACTACTATTCCAGAGTGCAAAGATTCAGTTTGGTACTGACCTTATTATGCAGAATTTACTTAGACATATTTATTCAATAATGTCACTTCTCTTTTTCTACATATTTCTACTATCTCCTGGTCAACAGATTAAGAAAGCAAAAGCAGGACTCAACCATTGAAACATTCAATGAATTTGCATAAAAGCCTAACAAATGCAGACCTTCCCAACCAGTCTACCATGACACATGATTGTTATTGATCTACTTGGGACTCCAGTTAGACACAGCCTTTTGGCAGCTTGGGCTTGAGTCCTGAGCAGAGAGGTGGGCCCTGCCATGCCTTTGAAAAGGTTGAGAAGCACAGAAATGAAGTATTAGGCATATGACACCTAAGGATTTTTGTCTGCTGGGATACAAAATCAATATACAAAAATCTGTTGCATTTCTACACACATATAATGAAGTAGCAGAAAGAGAAATCAAGAAAAACGATCCCATTTATAATTGTACTAAAAAGAATAAAACACCTACATATACACTTAACCAAGGAAGTGAAAGACCTGTACTCTGAAAACTATAAAATACTGATGAAAGAAGTTGAAGATGACACAAAGAAATGGAAAGACATCCCATGCTCATGGATTAGGAGAAAAATATTGTTAAAATGTCCATACCACGCAAAGCAATCTACAGATTTAATGTAATCTCTATCGAAATACCAACAACATTTTTCACAGAACTAGTACAAATAATCCTGGAATTTGTATGGAACCATAAAAGACCCCGAAACAGCAAATTAATCTTGAAAACAAGAAGAAAACTGCAGGTATCAGAATCCTGGATTTCAAGACACACTACAAAACTGTAATAATCAAAACAGTTGGTACTGGCATAAAAATAAGACACACAGATCAATGGAACAGAATAGAGAGCCCCGAAATAAACCCATGACTATATGGTCAATTAATCTTCAACAAAGGAGGGACGAATATGCAATGGGAAAAAAGACAGTCTTTTCAACAAATGGTGCTTGGGAAACTAGACAGCTATATGCAAATGAATGAAACTGGACCACTTGCTTCCACCATAAACAAAAATAATTCAAAATGGAATAAAGATCTAAATGTAAGACCTAAAGCCATAAAAATCCAAGAAGAGAATACAGTCAGTAATTTCTTTGACATTGACTATAACAACCTTTTTTCTAGATATGTCTCCTGAGGCAAGGGAAACAATAGCAAAAATAAACTATTGGGACTACATCAAAAGTAAATTTCCGAGATCAGACGAGATCGGGCGCGTTCAGGGTGGTATGGCCGTAGACACATCAAAAGTAAATTAAAAGCTTTGGGGGCACCTGGCTGGCTCAGTCGGTAGAGCATGAGGCTCTTGATCTCAGGGGCATGATTTCAAGCCCCATGATGGGCATAGAGTTTACAAAAAAACAAAACAAAATACCTTCTACACACCAAAGGAAACAAAAAGACAACCTACTGAGTGGGAGAAGATATTTTCAAATGACATATCCAATAAGGGGCTGGTATCCAAAATATATAAAGAACTTATACAACTCAACACCAAAAAAACCCCCCAAATAATCCAATTAAAAAATGGGCAGAAACATGAACAGATATTTCGCCAAAGAAGACATACAGATGGCCAACAGACACATGAAGAGATGCTCAACATAACTAATCATCAGGGAAATGAAATCAAAACCACAATGAGATATCACCTCACACCTGTCAGAATGGCTAAAATCAAAAGCACAAGAAACAACAAATGTTGGTGAGGATGTGGAGAAAAAGGAAGCCCCATGCACTGTTGGTGGGAATGCAAACTGGTGCAGCCACTGTGGAAGAGAGTATGGAGGGTCCTCAAAAAATTAAAATTAGAATTACCATATGATTCAGTAATTCCCCTACTGGGTATTTACCCAAAGAATATAAAAACACTAATATGAAAAGATATATGCACTCCTATGTTATTGCAGCATTATTTACAATAGCCAAGCTATGGAAGGAGATCAAGTGTCCATTAATAGATGAATGGATAAAGAAGCTGTGTATTCATGTACAGTGAAATACGACTCACCCATAAAAAAAGAATAAAACCTTGCCATTTGCAACAACACAGATAGATCCAGAGGTTTAACGCTAAAAATAAGTCAGTCAGGGAAAGACAAACACCAAATGATTCTACTCATATGTGCAATTTAAGAAACAAATGAACAGACAAACAAAAGAGACAAACAAAAAACCTTTTAAAATAGAGAACAAACTGGTGGCTACCAAAGAGAAGGTGGGTGGGGGGATTAAATGAAATAGGTGATGGGGATTAAGAGCACCCTTATCGTAATGAGCACTGAGTAATGTATAGAACTGCTGAATCACTATATTGTACACCTGAAACTAATATAACATTCTATGTTAATTATACTGGAACTAAAATTTTAAAAAAATAAAAATAAAATACAAACATTTTTTCTTGCTTCCTGATTTTATGAGGCCTGAATACCAAAACTGCCTTTAGGAGTTTTACAAAATCTTTTGAAAAATAGTTTTTTCCCAATTTTAATTCAATCTTAGTATCTTATTCTGACGGTTACTTTGAAAAAAAATTACAATAATACCTTAAACTTAAAAACTGCTTTATAAAAATCATAACCTGATTGGCTGTTTTTAGAACTAACTCCTCAATGATTCTGTTTTTGGGAACAATACACTCTCAAGTTTAAAGGCACTGGTTAGATCAAATGAAAGCATTCTCACATGGCCTCAATGTGTAGTGAGATAAATGACAGAGATGCTTCTATATGAGAGGTTATGCAAAAATATAAGCTAGTATTAGAGCATGAAGAAGATAAAAGAATTCAAACTTTTGAAAGGCTACATCATTCATGCATTTGCTTATTCATTCAATAAAATATTGTGCAATAAGGTGAAAACCCACAGAGAATATAAAGATGGTTTCTCCAATGATCTAATAAAAGAATCATTAATTTTGATGACTATGGAAATATATCTGAGTTCCAGAAGGAGCTTTAAATTTGGCTCTCATCCCAAAAGGAAAATGTTAAAGAAAAATGAAACAGCCTTCTCAAGTAAGTGAAGACAGGAGAAAAAGGTATAAAGGTTTGGGAGGGTAAGGAGAGTATTTAATCAGTATTTCAACACCCCCGTTTGATTTAATAGTGATTTCACTCATGTAGCAGTTGGACAGAAACGTCAGCCCCTTGATGTTTATGGTTATATATAAAGGGAAATAAAGAGGTCTCAAATGCATAATTCTCTGTGGCTTGAGGTGCCAGCAAAACAAACTTCTCTCTTAAAAAAAAAATGTCAGCAATCTTTCTATTTTTTACTGACCTTTTGACAAGCAAACAATTTTGTAACTCACCAGAATTTTCAGTTTTCAAAAAGAAATACCACAAACATTGTGGCCTATAAATTTTCTTAAAATTTTAAGATAAAGTAGATTTTGAAGGTTACCAAGTGTTTGCCTTAGGCTCAAGGTGTTAATATATGAGCTGTGACTTTAAGAAACCCTCTCAGTTTCGGAATCCCAGCATTGGGCAATGCCTTTCTGCTTTCTATGGTCCACAAATATTTAATTAGTGTACTTTTGGCTGTTATTCTAATTTAGATGAGGATGAACCTTTCCTTTTAATTTCGCACTTGTGAATGGATATAGGAGCATGATAAATAGCTAGATTTCTGGAACACAAAATGTCCATGTTAGTGGCAATAACAGTATTTCCCCCTTTGGTGCCAAAAAGTCATTCAGAGTACATTTTATTTAAGACACACGGAAAGGGTTTTAATATTTCTGAAGCCAAAAGTTATGAAGCTAAGCACTTAGCACTTAAATAAGCATAGCACTTCATAAAGAGAGAGAGAAAAAAAAAGGAAACCCATTGTTCCAGTTAATTCACCAGCGTCGTCAATAAGACCATCAAAAGTGTATACCACATTTTATAGGTCTCATTTCACCAGTTAACGTATAAATACAGACTTTTAACTACGGCATGAGAACAAGAATCTACGTGTAAGCAATCACTCTTCCCCCTTCACACTCAGCCAGGGTTCTGCCTGCATTCAAGGACATTCTGAGGGTGCTCACCAAAGTTCGTGTCAGGGAGGAAGTACCTAAAGGAAATCATCTCTATCTGCCCCTTTGTGATAACATGATCCTCATTTTCTCTAGCTTGTTTACACACTTACTCTCTGCAATGATACAAAGAAAGCCTGAACTGGGGTGCCAAGGCTTTCTCTCCCACCTGAATATCAGGTCTCAACCAAGCTTACATACCACCTCCTCTGAGAAGCATTCCTTGATTCATTCAATCATGAAGCAACTGCTGCCCTCTCTGAATTGTCAGAACAATTTATTCGTGCCATTTTGAAAGTATCTATCCCTTTCTGCCTTTTATTGTGCGTATGTGTCTTAAGTATGTACTGAGTCATAAAAAGTTGTGAGCTTCTGAGAGATTCCCTCTTACATACCTTTGCTTCTTAGAGCAAGCTATTTAACTCAGTGGATGCTCATCAAGTAAATATAGTACAACTGATATTTGCTTTGCAATAACATAAAACTATTCAGTTATTAAAGCATACTTTTGGTGGCTGAACAGAAAAATTAGCAATCAAAATACTCATCAAAAATGCATAAGTACAGTCTCAAAATATTCAAGTAAAATCTATACCATATGGAACCGCAGGCAGGACTAGGTCATTCTTCAAAAAGGGATGCAGACTATAATGATCTGTACTTACTTGTCTCCAAAAAACTTTCTCCAGAATTCAGCAGCATCTGCTTTCGTGATACGAAAGTTATCTCCCTGGAACTGCCCATTGGGAAAGATGGCTTTGATTTCTGCCAGCATGTGACTGAAGATGAGGGACAGTTTTGTAAGATTTCGTCTGTGGACACAAGGGGGGGGGGTGGGAAATGGAAAAATAAATAAATATATGTGCAAGTTTTAATGGGAATATATATTATGAAAAATAAAATTATGTACAGTATTAACATAGGTCTTGATGGCGGATCATGAACCTCAACTTAATAATGCATCTAAAAACAGTGTTCACACAAACTATCCATTTAAATTCCTAAGAGGCTTTCACTTTATTATGCACCCATGTGTTCATTTAACATAAACATGAACAAGATAAATTACATGATTTCAATGGGCTCACAGTTTAATGGGAGAGATGCACTCCTGAAAAAAATCATAATCAAATATAAACGCTAAACACAAAAGACAGAGTGACTACTTCTACATGGGGGAGTGAGGAAAGATTTGTCATTAGAGGAGAATCTAGAAAGATTAAGTAGTCTGACAGATGAAAGACCTGGAGTGAAGGGGAGGAAGGGAAGGAGGGAATGGGAAGGAGAAGGTATTAGGGCAGTAGCAAACAGCTTCTATACAAAAGGATAGAGGGACGGAATAGAATGCTTTGTGTCTTAGCCGGGTTTAGTACGGCTAGAGAAGAACAGAAGGTATTGAAGCAAATGGCATGACATAGGATGAGAAACTTTGGTGGGGACAGGGCATAAAGAGGCACCTGAAACAATGAACAAACTCTTTGTCAAATAGGCTTTCTACTCCTGCCAAGAAATGAGAGTTTCTGGTGAGGGGTTCCAGATATGTGCACATTTCAGAAGCTCCTTGTTAAGAGCTACTGCTAGAAGGAACAGGGAGCCAAAATGGATTAGAAAGATGGAGCACATGATTAAATCTGTTTTAGAAAGAAAAAGTTACGGTGGAATGAAAAAAAAATGGTTTGGAATGGAGGGAAAGGCATTTTTCTTTAAATGGTCTTTACCATAAAAAGGTCTTTACCATTACCATGGTACGTTCTGGGGATTCTGACAGGATTTAAAACGTGGTTCAAAACATGAGTCATACTTCAAAATACTACTATCATGGCACTCCTTCCTGCCACTTCCTAAGAAGTTTACAACATTATGCTAATCAGTCCAAACCTGCTAGTGTGAAACAGTAGAGAAGCAAACTGAAACACAAAACCCTGAAGAACTTGTCAGTTTTGAAATGACCTTGCTTCTTTATATTCCCATTTCCTCAGAATCACCAGACCTCAATAGGTACATATATAATATCATTCTATTTTAGAAGCTTCAGCTGCTTTTGTGGGTATGTTGAGGGGTCAGGATGTAAGATGGGGAGGAGGCAATTGCTTTAGGACTAATAGTAAATACAGAGGATAATTAGTAGAGAAAACCATCAAGTCTGCAATGCATTTAAAACCTTACAATGCTTCAATAGGCCTAGGACACTGAGAGATGTGGCTCTTTGCCTCACAGTCACTCACATATCTGTGCTTAATGACCCTCAGATAATAAGCAAAAACATGTTAGGTACCTAAGAGATTGTATAATATGCACCTGTCAATAAAGTCAATGAGTACCACTCTTTCCAAAACATTTAGAAGAGAAGCCAGTAACTTCCCATGTAAGATGAGTACAGAATAAATGAAGGCACTCATGATAAAAAGTGGGAGACGCAGGAATGAAAGGAAAGCAATAGTATAATCTATACCTCAATGAATTCATCTGTATTGGAAAACAAGAAATGTCCCAATTTCCACAATCTTAATAATCTATGAGAAGATTTATGAGACAGAAGAGTCAGAATTTTAGGCCGTATTTTAATGCTTGACTGGCAACAATAAACAATCTGCAAAATCGTTATGGTTACACATAATGTTCCATTATTTTCTTAGATTCAGCAACACTTCCACACAATTCAGCCTAATCCAAATGTGAGAGTTCTTTAGCTGAATCTTTGATCTTCTCATTTGTGTCAACACATCCTCATTTAGATGATGGTAGATACAAGAAATTCAGTTATAGGAAATGAAAACTGAACTATTGAACTAGATCAAAGGGAAGAATTGTGGCCAGTACAAACTGCAACTGACTTTTGAAATTTGAGTTGAAGGGCATAAAGTCCTTTTAGAAAATCTGCAACAAATTTATTTATATCATTAGGCAAAAGGGTTAATTTTCTACCAAACTTCCAATTGATACATACAGGAGAAAAAAGAAAAATCAAGATGGCTATAATTAGGGTAAACCAACTGTTCCTTATGTCTGAACTTATTGCTCTCCATCCCTTTATGTCTTTGGTCTTTAATCATAATCATATCCAAATGTTTTTCATTTTTATTTGATAGATCTAAAGTCTGAAGCACAATGCCAGCGATTACCCATCTCAGCTATGTGATCCACTGGCTACAAGACACTATACTTTAAAGCGGAAAGAGTAACATGCTATCTTTTTAATGTATAGTCTAGAAACTCTAGTAATCACTAGTACCTATATAACTAATCACTTTTTTAATTATAAAATGTGTGAAAGAGGGATGCCTGGGTGGCTCAGTCAGTTAAGCGTCTAACTTCGTCTCAGGTCATGATTTCAGGGTCCTGGGATCAAGTCCCACATTGGGCTCCCTGTTCAGCGAGGAGCCTGCTTCTCCCTCTCCCTCTGCCTCTCCCCCTGCTCGTGCACACTTGAGTGCCTTTTCTAATAAATAAAATTTTTAAAAATAAATAAATAAAATGTGTGAAAGAGTTCAATTTTCTTACTCCTACAAATGGATCACCACATTCTTTTACTTTTGCACAAACTATGGCCGTGGAAAAAGATATATTTTGCCTTTAGTCTTTAAAGAAACTCAAATTCAAGTTGTTAAAAATATGTGAATGCAACAGTTTTGCATTACCTTAATTTTCACACAGACCACAATATATATTTATCTTATATCTAATTTTAAAATACACACATGCACCACATATATGGTACCTTGGAAAGCCATTATTTAAAAGATAGATGTTTTTAGAGGTTGCAATCCACAAAATATGAAAAGAACAGACGCCTAATTGTAGTATCCAATGTCATTTAAATTTATTATCACAGCATGTGGTTTCTGTCTTCTATATAATTGTGGGGTTTTGCTGTTGTTTGCCATTATTTTGCCATATATTATGTGCTTTCTTTAATTCCTCATCTCACTTTTTCTTTTCTAAATAACTTCCAATTTTGAAAACAATATCCAAGAATATAGTCATCTCTAACCATCTAGACACAGAAGAAAGGCAACAACTATACATCTACGAAATGTTTTTCCCCTTATGAAATTTTTCCATACTCGGCCAATTTTCCCTAAGCCTACCGACTGCTGCTCACTATAACACCAAAATGATGACTGCTTAATAAAGGATTTGATAATTACTAATTAAGAATATGTTTCTATCACTAAAACTCCCCTACCTCCAAACATCTAAAGAAGTAAAAAATTTCATCCACAAAGACTCAATAATCTTGTAAACATAACTTTAATTTTACAAAGAATTTTGCAACACTTCACATATAAGAGATACTTTATTTTGACTAATTACTACCACATATCCGCTATTAACCACCATAAGCTAAGCCATTTTTAAAATTTTGTGAAGTTTTGTATGAAATTTTGTTAATTAAGAAATAAGCTTTAGAATAGAAGTTATCTTCAAATACCAGGTGATCAAAAAGTAGCTTCGGATGGCAATACTGGGTAAACCAGTAAAAGATGTAAACATTAGAGGAAACTTGAAAAAGAGGAAGGGAGGGAGGAGAAGAAGGAAAGCTAGCTACATTATTTTAAAAACCATGAAATGATTAGCAGTGTCAAGAATATTGCCTACAATGGGGCGTCTGGGTGGCTCAGTGGGTCAAGCTCGTGATTCTTGATTTTGGCTCAGATCATGATCTCAGGGTCATGAGATCAAGCCCCGTGTTGAGCTCCGTGCTAGCGTGGAGCCTGCCAAAGATTCTCTTTAAGATCCTCTCTTTTCCTCTGCCTCCCCGCCCGCACTTGCTCTCATTTTCACTCTCTCTCTCTCTTTAAAAAAGATTTAAAAAAAGCATATTGCCTACCAAAGCAAGGTAGCTCTTTTTATCTTGGATTCAGCTACCTAATATTGTATTTCTTTAAAATGGTATGAATCGGGCGCCTGGGTGGCTCAGTTGGTTGAGCAACTGCCTTCAGCTCAGGTCATGATCCCAAGGTCCTGGGATAGAGTTCCACATCGGGCTCCCTGCTCTGCGGGGAGCCTGCTTCTCCCTCTCCCACTCTGCCTGCTTGTGTTCCCTCTCTCGCTGTGTCTCTCTCTCTCAAATAAATAAATAAAATCTTTAAAATAAATAAATAAATAAATAAATAAATAAATAAATAAATAAAATGGTATGAATCAATTTATCCAAAAGTCAAGCTACATTACTACAAAGAATGTGAGGTTGAACCAGAGTGAATTAGCATGACTTCTGGAATGATGGAGTTTCTCTGCTTATGGTAAGTCTCAGCAGCTTAAGGTGGCTACGGCCAACATCAGACTGGAGGCACACACTGTTTGATGTGAGATGATACAATCTTACCCTTAATAAAGAGAAAAAGGAGAAAAAGACATGGATAGATTATCATGATACAATATGGAGGGGGCAACACACCAACTATAGCCATCTTGGGATGATGAATTAAAACTTGAAAAATGAATAAAAAATATATCAGGATTTAATTAGTAGCCTCCACTAAATGTGGAAGACACACGAGGAATGGAATCTAATCAGATTACATGTAGTCCTTATATTTTCTCCATTCAAGAAACAAGCTGTGTCATAAATCAAGGAAGAAATAAAAAGGTTTAAAGGCTGAATTAGTGAAAAACTTCAAATGACACTTTATATCAGTGAGGCCCAAAGTTTGTGAGAATGTACTACCTCTGGTAGAAGAAAGAGGAGACAATTTTTTATCCAAAAACTATTAATAATTCAATTCTCACATTTAAAAGGTAGAACATGCTCTTCTTAATCTTTACAAGGTGAAACAAATTCAAAATAAAAGAAAGGCAGACATAAAGA